GCGAATGATTTTCAATACTTCTTCCATCTGCTTAGAGAGGTTATCAGCAGCTGGCACATCAGTAGATACAGGCTCAATAACAGGACCCTTGCCCCGAGCATCAGTGGTGGAAGTAACAGCAGGAGTAACTGCACTCTTAGAAGCAACTGGAGGAGAGAAGACTCTTCCACTACGAGTGATCTTGCTAGATCCAGCAATATTATCAATGTCAACAGGCATATCAGGTAAAGGCTCCTGCTTGACACCATGGATGTAAACATCAGACCCATAGTGCCAAGGCACAGCTTTGTCAGATGTATAAGGAATAGGACCAGGAGTGGTAATGATCAGAGGAGCTACTCTGGCTTCAGCAACAACTTTCACAGGACCTTCAGCAATAATCTTGATTGGGCCCTGATGAGTGATTCTTAGTGGTACTTTGTCAACCATGTCAACCTCTTCAATCTTCTTACCCTGAGTCAGATGATCCACCATACTTTCTACAGATGCTGGTCTTCTTTCAAACACTATAGTATATTTATCCATGAGACGTTGAATCCCATCTCTCAAAATGAAGCAACTATCCGGCTTATAGGTACAATATAGACAATCTTCATGACAACCTGGAAAGATCCCAGCTTGTACTAACCTCTTTTTGATAACAGACAATGGTGTGCTCAACTCCATAACTGAATAGACATGCAGATCTTCATCAATATCTTCATCAATGGCGTTGACAGTCTTCTCGTGATTTGGCATTGGAGCTGTAATCACATTTGGAGTACCTGGTGGATCAAACTCAATTTCTCCAGCATCAATCATATCCTGAATTTTGTTCTTCAAGACCCAGCAGTTATTAGTATCATGTCCTGGACAGTTTGAATGATATGCACATCGTGCATTGGGATTGTACTTGGGAGAGGTAACATTGGGATTCTGAGGAGCCTCCCTCAGGGTAATAAGTTCAGCCTTCAACAAGTGTTGCAATGCCTGAGCCATTGACATGTTGATCTTCGTGAACTGTCTTCTAGCCCTCTGTTGGTTGCCTTGAGGCTGCTCTGTTGTTGCAGGAGTTTCAACGTAGATTTTAGGGGATTAGGGTTCTCCTTTATCTCCTCCACCCATCCGCGGAGGGTTTCAATATAAATCTCCGCAGATATTTTCAGATCGCGAGACATAATGTTCTCTGCGACACTGGAATAGATTTCTTCCATTTCCGGAAAGTGAACGGAAAGCCGCCCTTTCCCCTTCTCACAATATTCCCGAACTTGCTCAAGAATCAATGAATAGCACTTCGAAGTCCCTCACGTTGGGGGATCGGCGTGGGGAACTTCCACCGGTTCTGGACTGGAGCCTGCGGGTTCTGTGTAGTTTAATCCATTCCATCCATGAGTGTTGCGGTTTCTCATAATCGTCGTCAAGTTTATGCTCGTTCAGTCTTCCTCGTCATGTTTTGTTAGGTACTAGACTAGTGTTTTGTTAGGTACTAGACTTTTATATATATATATATATATATATATATATATATATATATATATATATATATATATATATATATATATATATAAAACAACTAAAATAAAGATTGTGCTTAGCCTTCATCGGTATGAAGGAGAATGTTGTCCATTGGTTTCAATTTTGGTGTCTAACATCCAAGAATGCTTCTTGGGAGGAGTTTGTAACGGCACTGTTGCAAAGATACAGAAGAGTCAGGCTTGGAACTGTGTATGCCAGGCTTGCATCACGGTAATACAACAGAAGGGGAGCATGGAATATTATTTCCAAGAATTTGAACTCTTGGAGGCCCAGGCAACTTCAATGCCAGAAGAACAAATGATTGGGTATTTCTTGGCAAGATTGCGTCAATATTTATAATCAAGTCCATCCTTATTATGACCCACAAAGTTTGATTTGAGTTGTGGAGATATCATGTGACAATAACCGTGCTTAATAGGAGATATTATGTCATTTGCAACTACTTCTGGGGTACCCAACAGCACGCGAATTTAAAATAGAGGTCTCTGAGGCCAATGGCAACAGAGCAAATGTGCAGAACTCGAGGGCTAAACCAGGAGACACAACAAATTATGGTTCAAGAAATAGGAGCACTCACATTCTTCCTTACACAGAGCATCTGAAACGAAGTGAAGAGGGAAGGTGTGTTTGTTATGGTTTGGCCATGGTTCAGGCAGAGAAGAACATAAAGGTATACGCTGTCATATTGACAGAGGATGAGAAATTAAATGATGAGAGAGAAATCACAAAAACAAAAGCAAAGGCGAATGCAGAAAAGGAAATGGAGATGATGGAATCAGATTGCAAGTGGATGGACTTTTCCATGTATCCAGCAAGAGGATTGACTCAACCAACCATACAATATGAAAGGTGTTAGAATAGTTTGTTCTTGTATTAATTGATAGCGGCACAAGCAGCAACCACAATTTCATTTTCATAAGTTTGGTTTGGAATTAGGGTTACAGGTGGAGGAAACACTACCCTACTATGTAAGATTGGGAGATGGACTGAGAAAACCATCGCACGGTTGCTGCTAGAATATAAATGTTAACTAGTAAGATGTCACCACTATTGTAGTCAAGATTGAATGTTAGATCATAAGAACGTAAAATTTTACTTGTCAAGGATGCCCGAGAGTGCTACGATCAGAGAAAGATCGTTGTCGCCGGTATGGTCAAGGTCGAGCTTTTTGAAGCAAGATCGTGAAGAAAAAAAACATGTTAGGGTTTTTTTTGCCTGAATTATAATTTCATGTTTTTGCGTATATGTATAAATATTTATGAAATTGCCATTTTTCCCTTTTGCAGGATCTTACGTGTCGTGTTAACAATCTAAGTCTTACATTCTTTCACAACCAAACCGATCCTACTTAAGATCTCATGCTTGAGTACATTGGTCACTACCATTCAAAATGAATTCTCTGATTTCAACCTTGAAGATAAGATAGAATTTGGAGAGGATGGTATTGTTAGGCAAGATATTACTGCACGTACTAGAAGGGTCAATTAGCATAGTTAGGTTGTCGTCCCTTTTGTTAAGTTATTGTGTAATATTTTCTGCTATTGTGAAAAGTGAAAATGGAATAATATGTTTTTATACTCTCTTAGGCAATCAGTTTTTTCATCATACGTTTTTATACTCCCTTCTGCAATCAATTTTTTCATCAAATGAATAAATAATCACTTTTATGCATGGTATCAGAGTTGGATCTAAATCGTCCCTAATCTCTTTCATCGACCCAGCCATAGAAGAAGAGAAAACCGAAGACACATCCATAGTGATTGACGCAAATCTTGCCAACTCAATCAAAGGGACGGCACTTCTCATCACTAACCACAAGTTAAATGGCCGAAACTAGCTTCAATAGGAGAGGAATGTCTGACTCTTCTTTAAAAAAAAATGGAAAGATGGCTATGTCACATGAAATTCAAAAGAACCCAAGAAATGAGAACCCAACCTCCAAAAGTGGCAACAGAAAAACAATAAAAAAAACAATTTGGTCGTGTCATGGCTCCTCAACTCCATGAAAAATAAAAAATAGAGGAAATTTCATGTATTATGATAATGCCGAGGAGATGTGACATGCAGTAAAAAAAAAACATACTCTAATGTGAACAACACATTTGTCATCTTCGAAGTTATGAGCCTCGGTAATTGAATACCTATAGAGAGGTGGAATGGAATTGTCCAGAGGACAAGAAAAAGTACAAAGAGTTAGTAAAGAACGATAGAATCTACAAATTCCTATTGGGACTTAACAAGGATCTTAATGAAGTGTGTGGTTCTTGGAAACAAACTATTTTAAAAACTCTGAGAAGTGCTCTCAGAGGTAAGAAGAGAAGAAATTAGGAGGAAACTTATGTTGAGAACCCCCATCATCCTCATCCATTGAAGGATCAGCAACAAACTCAGCTTCAGGAAGGAACAAGCCATGGTGTGAACATTGTAGGAAACATGGCCATACGAAGGACATTTGTTGAATCATTCATGGGAAGCCTTCGGAAGCGAAACGCTTTCGTAGCAAGAAGATCAGAGGCAATAGTAGACATAACCCAGAAGAAGTAGAGGAGAAAATGATTCAATTCTTTCCAACAAAGAACAAATAGACACACTGCAGAAAATGCTCCAGCAAACTATCTTACTGCAGGGAAAAGTGATACAGCTACAATTGCACAAACTCATTAAAAGGAAGTCTTCCAATATCCTCAACTTTAACACGCTTTATTCTACTCTCCAAACCATTCGCCCAACTAGAAAAATCATCACCTCAATCTCATTTAATATATTAGGATGTTCATCTTTTGTTCATAATCTCAACCCTGTCGCAACAAACTTGACCCAAAAATCCTTCAAGTGTTTTTCTTTTCTATTCACCTCATCAAAAAGGTTACAAGTGTTACTCTCCCGCAACATGAAAATTTTACCACAATATGGATGTGACCTTTGAAAATCAACCATATTACTCTAAAGTTAGATTTCAGAGGGAGAACACCTTAATCCTAAACAAAACAGCTGAATTCCAATTTTTAGATTTTGGGATGATCGAAACGGACCTTGAAATTGCACCAGCAAAACCAGTCAATTATGTACCACCAGAACCGATAAATTCTAGTAGTATTCTACACCAACAGAACTAGATAACCAGCCAAACCAGAAAATCTCGTAAAATCATCTCAACCTGTCCTTGAAACTGCACATGCAGAAAGTATTGCACAAGAAGCTGGCCAGAAAGTTTATGGAGTGGTAGTAATAAACTAGTAATGGTAGCAATATATTTTACTCAAGATAGTAGTCATCTAGTAAGCAGAACCACTATCCTACTATTGTAGAACCCAACACAGGTCATAGCACATCAAACAATAACTTGAAATTATAATAGATTTTCAAAGACAGTACCAATAAGAACATTAAAATGTAGAAGAAAAACATGAAATGGGAAATACACGAAAATGCAAATGGGGCATGAACATGAGCATTTAAAGAATAAGAAAGGAAGTTTCTCACACAGAAGCCAGTTTTGACCATGAAAAATTCCATAGAAGCTCCAACCAAAGCCGACGCAACCCCAATCTTCAAGTACCAATCAAGAAACTTCATTTTCAACTGGAAGAAATTGCACCAATGGTTATTGAAAAAGATTTGAATAAAATAACAACAAAGCTCAATCTGTACGTTTAAATCAAAATTTGAATACCTAATTGAAAAAGCGAACAAAGAGCAATACTATAACTAGAAACTTGGAAAGAAAATCTAAATTCGTCTATGATTATTGTCAATTAAATCGAAAATAACAAATATAATCACAGAAATAGTTAATACCAATAAGCAAGCGATTGAAGAAAGAGAGATATCAGCCATAACTGGATCGGAACAGAAAGGGGAAAAAGCTTCTTTTTGAAACTTATTCAAATTGATTTTATGGAAGTATTTCAAATTGATTTTATGGAAGTATTTGCACAAAATTGGTTACAGAACAATCCAACACGCGGTATCACAATCGCAACAAAAAGAGAAATTGCAAGAGAAAAAATGTCGAGAGAGGTGAGAGAAGTTGAGAATATTTACCAAACAATGGCAATTCACTGATCGGAGCTGTTGTTAGGTTATCGTCGAAGTCCCTACATATATTTACAGGTAACTTCTTTGCTGTGAGAATCTGGGTAGTTTGATTTACTTCAGGATTGCTTCCAGGGCTACAACCCGAAATGTTGCTGAGTGTCTACCCGTGGAGCAATACTATTTGCACCCTCTTTCTTCTGATTTGGTGCATTTATTGGATCACACAAATTTTAATAGCAACCACTTTTGGCAACCGCACTCTATTAAAAAATTAAAAATATTCCTAAAATTTAGAATTTAATAGCTGGACACATCCAAAATATAACCAAATTACTCGAGTATCAGACTTAGAAAAATACAAGTTAAGTTATTTATGTTTTCATTTTTTTCACATTCTATACGATTTTTCTTTTTCTTTGGCTTAATTGTAAATTGTAACTATGTAGTCTCCTCTTTAATTTTAAATTTTTTTTAATGATGTGTCACTACCTAAGATGTAGGATAATTAATTTATTAATATTATTTTAATTAATTAATTTTTATAATTAATTAATTAATCAAATTTTTAAATGAAACTCTTTTCCGGATCTTTAGTTATTGGTTCATGTCTTTGATCCATCTTTCTAACCACAATTGAATTGTTGCGTTTGTTTCAGCTTTATAAACACTTTTATGTCTTATACAAAAATCAATGTGAGACTTCTAAAAGACATTTTATATTACAACCTTATCTCATTCTTCTTCATTGCAGCAACTTCTCCTTGTTCTCAAACGCGTGTCTATTGCAACAACTTAGACCTCTTTTCCATAGTGCAAATCTATTGTTCTTCTTCAAAATCCCCCTATGAACTTCAAAACCCTAGTCACTTATTGACAACAATATTTACTTGTAGTAAGTAATTCTACAGTAGGTTGTCTGCCTCAGTAATACAGCCAAAAATGCCAAAGAATCTAAAGACTTCTAATTTTTCCAGGCCTGAATGCCTCAGCAATATTGCCAACAACCAAATGGATGTCTCTCTGTAATTCTCTTATAGCAAGAAAGTTGACACCACAACTCAAGAATTAACAACAAACACCTCTATCACTTCACGATTGTTCTTCTAGAAAAAACGGGTGTATGATTAGCGTACTCCATCAGCAAAATTAGGTTTATTCTGCATTTTTCAAAAAATTTATTTATCTTTCTGGTAAATTTTGTTGTTCGGCAGAATCCTTAAATTGATTCTGAGTAATCATTGGTCGTTTAAGTTTGTTGCATATAAAGGAGAACCTCGCAAGTTTGAACACAGTGTATAGCAAATTTTGTTGGTACACTTGTATTTATGGAACATATAAGGTCATGTCTTCAATGCAGTATCAGAAATTTCAACAACAAAATAAATGAAGAAAGTTTCAATATAAAATGTTTGTTTGTTTTTTTAAATATTTTTTAAATTCATAATATTAAATTATTAATCTAGTACTACTATTAAGTTAAGAGGTTGTTGTCCACTAGTTGTAACATAGGTTTGATATATTTCCGACAGATGGAAGTTGTTTCTAGTATCAGTGGTCATAATCATGTCCAAGTGTCATTTACATACATTTAGTCTATGTTTTTTAATTTCAACATCCATCATTGATCGTGCTATATGCTCCACTCCATCTTAATCAAAATCAAATTTTGAAATTTGAAACATCACACATGGTCTGCATCAAAAAATAGATTAAAAATTATGTACTTAAAGTGGGAATAATTAATTAATTAAATAACGTGAAAAGAAATGTGATTAGAGTTTGGTTTTGAAGAAGAACAATAGATTTGTACTATGGAAACAAAGCATAAGTTGTTGCAATAGACACGAGTTTGAGAACAAGCAGAAGTTGCTGCAATGAAGAAGAATGAAATAATGTTGTAGTATAAAATGTCTTTTAGAAGTCTCACATTTATTTTTGTATAAGACATAAAAGTGTTTATAAAGGTAAAACAAACACAACAATTCAATTGTGGGTTAGAAAGATGGACCAAAGACATGGATCAATAACTAAAGGCCCAAAGAGTTTCATTTAAAATTTTGATTAATTAATTAATTATAAAAATTAATAATAAAATATTAATTATTAATTAATTAATTAATTAATTAAAATAATATTAATAAGTTAACTATCCTAGTCAATAAAAAAAGTCTTGAATTATTTTTTTAAAATGACCTGGCATTAGACACGTCATCTTAGAGAGTGTCACATCATTAAAAAAAAATTAAATTGAAGAGGGGACTAAAATCAAACTCAAAACTTAAAAAAGAGACCAAAATCGTGGTTTTTAAAATGGGAGGACCAAAACCCAAAAAAATACAAAATAGGGGGATCATAGTTGCAATTAAGCCTTCTTTTTTTTTGATGCATTAGTTTGAAATTAAACGCATAATAGGTTGATGTTGTTGCATTATGACGCATAATATATTGTTTAGTGAGGCAGGCTTGTTGATTTTTTGAAAATTGAAGTTATATATATCATTTGGGTGTGCTCTATTTTTTCGTACTCTGGTTTCAAAAGAATAAGAAAGTTAACTTCCATATTTTGGTATTCTACATTACGAAAGTTAACTTTTAGATGTTGTTGTTTCTACTTTGTTTTTCTTATTTTTCTTGTTATGCCCTCTGCGTTTGCCTTCTCTGATTATGATATGATTTTTATGGTATAAATACAAGTAAAATTTATAACGTAGATAGATTGAGACATGGTAGAGTGGCTCAGCATGCTTATGTTCGGATGAAAAGAGATAGACCATTTCGTCCATCCATTGGTGTCACTTCATTCGATGTTGAAGTATCATCTTATAGAGTTCACGTCTCTCTAGCATCGTCCTCCCAGAGACATGAGTCCCCTCATGTTACCCCAGGCATGGCAACGGGACGGCCGATGACAGTGTTTACCTCCCTCAAACTCATACCTGAATTCTAAAACAATCCATGTTTCTCGCCCTAATCACCATTGGGGATGAAGAATTAAAACTTAAACTCATCTCAAATGAGTCTGGGTATCCCTGTGTCGCCACCATCTATTTGATAAAATTAATTTTTTTAATAAAAATATTTACTTTTTCAAAATCAAATTACACTAGAAATCTTTAAAAAAAATCATGGATACATTTTCAAATATTTTAAATAATAAATATAAATCAAAATATCAAAATAATAATCACATATTTAATATTTTAATTTATCAAAACTGAAATAATAAACTACAAAATAAAATAAACAGGACGGATTCGAGAATGGGTTTAGGATGGGTACTAGTTGTAACACCCTAGAACCTCAACTCTCTATTTAAAGAGATAAACAATAATATTCTCAAATAAAGGCGCTACATATTCACAACATGCATATTCTTCCAATTAAATTTATTTAACATAACAAAAATTTAACATTTAACAATAATACTTCAAATTATCTCTTTAAAATGAAATACTTAATTAAATAAGCAATTAAAAACCTTCAACTCAAAACAATAACGAAACAACTCATTCTCAATGTTACAAATAAGAGCAACCGAAAACTAAATAACAAAAAACGATAAAAAAAACAAAGAAAATACTCAATGTCATCTTTCAACTCACGACAGTTATTACTCCTCCCGAGTATTTGTACCACAACGTACAAAACACCATAAACAAGCAAAAGAGGTGTGAGAATACGCTCAAATATATAAATGGTGCGAAATATAGCAATTGTAGTATCAAATAAAATGATCATCAAACATATAATTCACTTGCAACAACAACCAATTCACAATGCCTTTATGTATGTAATGTGACTCATAATTCGACTCAATGCATGTGTTACTAATTTGAACATTAGAGGTATGTTATTGATCTTGTCCACTCAACAATGGTTCCTCTTCAAATTGGGTCCTCACTCGTCATTGTTCCCTACTTCTGAATGAACCAGTCGTGACTGATCCCCACTTATAAATCAAAAACTTATCTCAGGACGGAAGTCCACACATCAATCATTAGCATGCATGATGCATGACGTATAAAATAATGCGACAACACTTATGGTTCCATTTCTAACCATACAAAACAGCACATAAGGCAATCATAGTTGTTCTCACTCCGAACTATGCATCTTAACATCAAAAACATATAATTATATGTCATCATATAATTATGAATGCATTTCACAACATACATTCACACATCAAACAAATCGTTCACACAACACTTAAGCATAGTAATTCATCTAATTAAACATAACCAAACAACAACCAACAGTCGTTGGAGTCGAAAATAGACCAACAATTCAAGTCAAAAATAGTAACTTTGTGTTGTCATATTCGCTAAGCGAGTTTTGGCTCGCTAAGTGATAACCAAAAACCAGAAAATATCATATTTTGTCACAACTTACTAAACGAGTGTAATATCCCGCATTTCCTTAAATGCTCAATTAGGGGTCAGTTGAGATCAATTGAGTTTTTATGTACTCTATCTTTTGTTAATTGGAATAGTTGAAACTCTTAATTGCTCTAAATATTATCTATTGGGATCAATAGA